GCCAGCCAAGCCGACCGAAGCCACGCCGAGCCAGGCCAAGCCAAGCCGAGCCGAGCCAAGCCAGACGAAGAAAAAAAAGAGGCCGGCCAAGCCAGGCCAAGCCAGACCGAGCCAAGCCGAGCCGAGCCAGGCCAGACGCAGAAAAAAGCCGAGCCAAGCCAGACACAGAAAATAAACAATGCCCCGAGCCAAGCCAAGCCAAAAAAGATTTAAAAAAAAAACAAGCCAAGCCGAGCCAAGCCAGACGAAGAAAAAAGCCGAGCCAAGCCAGACAGAGAAAAAAAAAACGGGCCCGCCCAAACCCTAAACCCCTAAAGCCCTAAAGCCCTAAACCCTTAACCCCTATACCCTAAACCCTAAACCCTGAAGCTCCAAACACGTCGCCAGGAGGCCCTCACCCTGGCCCTGGGTTGTTTCCGCATTCGTCGCGCCTCTTCCTGCCCGGAAGGTCTAATGTAGGGGCCTTACTAATAAGAATAGGGTTTTGGGAGTTCCTTTAAAAGGGCTACTTTAGGGGTTTAGGGCTTAGAGGCCTTAATAAATAGAATATTCCTTCAAGGGGTTCTAGAAGGGGTTTAGGGTTTAGGGGCCTCAATAATTAGAATCGGGTTTTGGGGTTTCCTTGTTATATTTATGGTATAGTCTACCCCCAAACCCTTTTCTAACTGTTAAGGCCCCTATATTACTTTCGGGTTGAGGCGCTTATCGGGTTTAAGGTCAGACACCTGGTTTTGTAGGTTTGGGCTTTTGGGTCATCGCAACATGTCGCAACTCATAATGGAAGATGAGTTGGGCACCTTTATGACTTTGAGCAAAGCTTGTGAGTTCAGGGTTAGACTCAAAAGAGAGCATAACACAGAGGCCTTCACAAGCAGCATGACTGCTCCGTCAATTTCTGAATAACAAAAATAGAGCAAACCTCTATACACAACATGTTCCAACTGTCACGATCCCTGCATTGTGCTTTGGTGTCTCTTTTCGGAGGGGCTGTGCCATTGTTCGTGGTGGCGCGCAATCGAGTTTGGAGATTTCACGGTCTGTATCGGGCTCGGGGCGCAGTAGGGCCCATGAGGGCTGACAGAGACAACCCCTTATGGCAGATTCGTACTTGTCTGCTGCAGTGTGCGGTAGATTGTCCCGAACGGCCCGGACATAGTCCGAATCAGTGTGTACCAGCATGCTGTAGCCCAGTGTGGACTGGCTGTAACTGACTCAATCTTCCCTAAACCCTAAACCCTAAACTTTTTGACACTGGCGAAAAACAGCGTTGCTGTACACGCGACGATGCCGGCCGACGCCTGTGTCGCTTAATCCCTTCAGCATTGCCTAAGCCAACAGGCTCTGTGGTACTCTCGCGTGTCCCAGTCAGACGTAGCAGTAAAGTCAATGATCTTCCTTTTGCATGCCTTGCCTAGTTCATGGTTGGGATAGCATCAAGAATTCTAAATTCTTTTCCTTACTGAGTTTAAGTACCCATAAGAATGTAAAATGTTACCCAACGGTGACAAAGTTGCACTTGAGCTTGCCTTTGAGGCGCAACTGCTCAAGGCGCTTCTTCTCCCTGAGTCTTGCAGCCTGGCGACTTTGCGGAGCTTCTCCTCCGAGAGCTGATGCCGCGCCTCTTCCATGTGCCTGCAAACAACATACAGCAAACATGACGTGCTACAGTACACTGTGACATACTGCTATAGGATACTACAGTAAACTGCTGATGTACCAAAAGATGCGCCTGCAAAGCTCGCTGTGCAGCTCCGCCGTAGCCGAAGTGGAGCCTCTTTCTAGCGAGCGAATTCGAGTCGAAGAGACCGTGGTCAGCATGTGATCGATGTCACTATCTCGGCCTGCACGGATTTTGACATTCCGCAGCAGAGGATATCCGCATGCTTGTATGAAGCTTCTGAAGCCTCCCCCCAGAAATCGATGTGAATCGTCTCGCCATCTTCGCCCAACAACGTGGCTCTTCTGCGCTTCGCTTCACGGGTGCCAAGTTCCAGGACATGCTGCTCTTCCTAGGCTCTTCTCGAAACCCCTTTCAAAACAAGAAAACATAATTTTTTGATTGTTACACTTCTCTATAGAAAACATTCGCGCACGTGAAATTAATTCTCTTCGATAAGCTATGCCAATCCTGAATCAAAACCAATACCAACCCTAAACCGATGGAATTAAGTCCGCCAAAACCACAATAATTATGGCCTTTAAAGACCTACAGTTTCATAATGGTAATATAGTATATATATATGAGAGAGACACCTC